TGGCAAAAATCTTTAAAAAAAAAAAAAAAAGAATTTGTATTTCTGACTTGGCCAATTAAGAAGTGGTGTCACAGTGGGCAGCATCTAGGCACAGCCATGATTTGCTGGCTGAGTAGCCCCTGCCCTCTTATTCAGGACACTGGATGTCCAGTTTACTGAGCACTGACTATTTCAACTCCCTTGTTGACGGCAGCAGCCGGCCCTTGCCTAGTCCTAAGCACTATCCTCATGAACCACAAAGGAGTGAAAAACCAGTAGAGAGACAGAGAAAGGTCATGACAGTATCTCTGAGCTTGCAGTAAGGAAGCATGCATCCCAGTCAAGACCCTGCCACTTCTCTGAGCAGCCCCACCTTCACATTCCCTCTCTGGGCTTTGGTTTTCCATCTGTAAAAGGAAGGTATACTCACTGCATTTCCTTTGTCATGACAGCTGTTCTGATATTCTGGAATTCCAAGTGAGACTATTATCTGGAGAGAGGTGCCAAGGGGCAGCAACAGGCTCCCCCTCTACTGAACCACTTAACCATGCTTTCCTTTCCTCTTGTCTTCCACTCTCTCCTGTCACTCCTTCCATGACTGCCTTCAAACTCTTCACTTCTAAGTCGCTGGGGACCTTATCGCCCTACTCCCAGGTAACTAAACTGATGTAGAATGAATTAACTTTAAATGATTGTGTCCTTTTTACTGACCAAGAGGAGCCCTGCTCCAGCCCTACCCAGCTCCTTAAGGGACCTGAACCCTTGTCCAAGGAGCTCTCCCAACTGGGGCAGAGATGAAGAGACACAGAAGCGTGCACTAAAGGAAGTGGCACTGGGACGAAGGATGGAAATGACAGGGGTAGAGGTGGCTGGGGGGAGGCTGGTGCATCTTCTTACCCAGAGATGGCCTCCCTCACGCTTAGTGTTCCCTGCATGCAGGACTAAGTCATGGGTTCTGTCCAAGAGAGGGGTCCAGAAACTCCTCTGCCACCCTCCTTGGGCTGTGCATGTAACTCAAGGAGGGATCTCTGGGTTTATGTTTCAGGCCCCAGAATCCCATGTTCCATGTCACACCCACCCCTGCCTGTTGGACCCTGAGGCCACAGGTCCACCTCACCACCAGCCTTGCTCACAGCCCCTCTTGCTCCCCTAGGACATCTATGAGAACCTGGATCTCCGGCAGAGACGAGCCTCCAGCCCAGGGTACATCGACTCCCCCACCTACAGCCGACAGGGCATGTCCCCCACCTTCTCCCGTTCGCCTCACCACTACTACCGCTCTGGTAAGGAAAGGGGGTTGCCCCAAAGGGAGAGGAAGAGCCAGGGGGACAACACACCCACTGAGTGTCCCTGGGCTGCAGTGACAGTATAAGGCTTCCCCAGGATTACTGTCAATGGCCTGCTAGAGGCCTGTGATCTTCCGGGTGGCTGGCTGGTCCTCACTGGTCCCTGAGATGTCTCTAGAAAAAATAAGGGGGAGACAGGCAATGTGGTGCTGAGAAATAGCCAGAAAGTGAGTGGTGAGCTGCCAGAAGAGAGGAGTGGCAGGTTGCCCAAAGGCCCTTGCAGGGGGAAGACTCCTCTATCATGTCCTTTGGCCTGCCCTATTCAGCGGGCAGAACCAGGAGACCAGAGACAGGCTTGTGCACTGGCCCTCATGAAACATCATGAAGCCATCCGCAGGTGCCCCATGGATGGGATGAGCAGGTGCCTGGATGAAAGAAGGCAGCAATTAAGGGAGGGGCCCAGATGGGGAGCCAGGATGCCATGCCCTCCTAAAGCTCAGTCGAGTTGATTGTTACTTCCCACAAAATCTGATTTTGGGGTCAGGCAAGGAAACAGGTCAAGCTTGTATCTGCAGATACGGTGCATGAGAGCACATGCTTCTTCCAACCCCAGAGCTGAGCACGCTGGGATGCCCCAGCCCCACCCATCCCTGCCGTCATCACCTCACTGCTCCCTTAACTGCCACTGTGATAATGCCTGTTTTCTCTGTGCCTCTGTTCTCTCTGGGGACCACTGCCTGCGTGCTCCAGGGCCTGAGAGTGGCCGGAGCTCTCCATACCATAGCCAGTTAGATGTGAGGTCCTCCACTCCAACCTCTTACCAGGCTCCCAAGCATTTTCACATCCCAGGTAGGCATGGCCAGCCCGGAATTCCTGGTATGGGTGCATGCTCCATGGGGTCGCTGAGCTCATTCAGTGCTTCACAGGCATCCAGGAGAAGCTGGTTCCTGGGGGTCCTTCGTAACCAGTTGCCCAAACTAACCTCATCCTCCAGTTCCAACATGCCTACAGTCTAGTCTGCTCACTTGACCAAACCAACATTATTCAGGATCACAAGAAAGAAGCTCAGGGAAGAAATGATGCAGGAAGTGAGAGTGAAATGCTTTCAAGTCCAAGGGCCGTGATAGTGACAGCAGTAACACGTAGTGGTGAAGGCCACAGGCTTTTGCATCAAAGCTCTTGGGATTGAATTCTAATCCTGCTACTAGAAGCTCAAGACTCTGGGCTGGTTACTTGCCCCCTTGAGTCTCTGTTCCATCTGTGCAGTAAGGCACCCTTCTGGGCCTTTGGGTGCATCTGTGCTCAACTCAGCCCAGATCATGCCTTCATGGTATTTATGTTCTGATGTAGGAAGATGATACATGAGTAAACAAATAAGTAAGAGGATAATCTTAGGTAATGATAGATGCTATAAACATAATAAAAAAGAAAAGCAGGGCATCATGAGATAGTGACTGCAGCTGGGCTAACTGGGGTGGTCAGAGGGCTTCTTGGAGGAGTTGACATTAAGCTAGAATATGAGAAGGAGTTAGCACTGTGAAGATCCCAGAAAAAAAGCATCCAACAGAGGGAACAGCAATATAAGTTCGTGTGACTGGAGGGAGTGTTAGGAGACAGAAGGAGGCCAGGCTGCATGGCCTTGGAGGTGTGCTTCAGACAAGGTCTTACCCTGAGCTACAGCAGAGCCAGGCCTAGACCCCAGTCTCCTAACACACAGCTCAGTTTTCCACTCCCCACATAATATTCCCTCTGAGAGCTTGTCTTGCAGTTTCATTTACACTCTTCTCAACCACCCTACAGGGGCTAGAGGGGCCCCATCTTGTCTGTTTTTGAGGGAAGGAAGGGAAACAAAGCTGAAACTTGTCTGAAGCATCTGGGGACTTTCACAGGGAATGATGTGCAGCCACTGGTGGAGGCAGTAGATGCATCCTGCATGGGGTTCTGCTGAGCACGCACCCACCTGCATGCCCGCCTTTCAAGCTGAAGTCCATTCCTCAGTACCATTTGAATCCATCCACTCCTCTCCCCCACCTCACTTGGAACATGTTGGGATAAGATTGGAAGTTCAATTTTGGAAGAGGAAGTCTACTGGGGGATAGAGGTGGCCCCTGGGGAAAGTTGCTGAGCATTTCTCTCTTCTGAAATCAACTGACCAAGCCTGTCTCCTTCTCTCTCCTCCTCCTCCTCACTATCCCTTCCTGGTCGGTTTGGCAGCTGGAGAAAGTAACATCTACCGGAAACCCCCGATCTACAAGCGGCATGGTACGGTCAGAGGCAGATAGGGCTTGGCCAGATACAGAGAAGGGGAAGTCATCCTTCTTGTAGATGGCTCTGCACAGGCCACCAGGAGCAACACAAGCAAGGCTGCAACTTGGTCCTTCTGGTTGGCTGTGTCCCAGTCACTCAGGGTGGCACTGGGAAGGAGTTTGGTGTCATTTCAAAAGGGCAAGCAATAATTCCTGTCCTCTAAATCCTCTCCCATCACCTTCCCATTGCCTCCTTACTTTGTCTGGTGTTCTAAATTTCATGATCAGAGAAATACTTGTACAATGCACAGACACCTGGGTGAGTCCCACTCCAAGGCCTTGATACTCAAAAACATTCATTAGTCACATAGGGTGCATACAGACCCTTCCTGAGTCTGCAGTGGAAGTGGACTGACCATAGGAGAATAGGCAAAACGGCCAAAAATATCAGCCAAGGAAGGCTGCTCAGGACCTGAGTCAAAGAGGAGACTGAAAGCTCTGGAAGCAGGAGCTGCTAGGGGAGGGAGCATATGCGGCCTACATCTTAAGACCTTCTGCAGCTCTGGCTCTATGGACTGTGTAGGACGTCTCTACGTTCCCTATAGCTGTCCCTGAGAAATGAGTGGTGCTCATTTCCTCAGCCCCATTTCTGCCCACCAGCCTCTTATCAATCAGTGGGCCATCCTAAAGTCACTGCCCTGTAAGTATATGTGCCTGTGATGGGTTTTTTGGTCATCTCTACCATGGACTTCAGGTGAAAGCTAGAAGCTGGATGGAACCTGAGCCAGCAGATCAATTCTGACACAGATGAGGAAACTAAGGCAGTAATAGTCAGGGTTTGCCCAGTGTTACAATTGAGTTAACAGTCTCTGCCAAGCTGGAACCAGAACTGAGTTTTGCTGAATTCCCGTGCGATATGTCTTCCTTCAAGCCATGTAGTCTCCCCAGACTGATGTGGCATTTCGAGATGAGAAAAGAAGGTTGACCTGATTCAGCATGTATCAAGTGTCTGCCTGGCAATTCCCACCCAAAACATGGTTCAAATTCATATCGAGGCAGACTTCTAACATGCTTGGAAGGTGAGGTTGGTGCTAGCCTGGGACATGTTGAGTCTTACATCAAGGAACCACAGCCTTGGTGTGGTTAGAAAAGACCTGGGAGTCCATGGAATGTGCTGGAAGGAGCCCTGGGCTAGGATCTGGTTCAATTCTGGTACTAACTTTCTGTGTAGTCTTGAGCAAGCCCCTCCACCTCTGGCATTCAGATTCCCAAATGTAAAATAAGGAGTTGGTCCCAGGGTGTTTACAGCTCCAGTGTTCCATCTCTCAGACCCACCTACCAAAAACCCTGAGCTTGAAGTGGCCTCACTCCCCTGGGCTGGAGCCTGAGAAAGGGTATACTGTCCCAGCAAGGACACGACTTTCCTGACACTCTCTCCTTGGGTCCTCTGCAGGTGATTTGTCTACAGCAACGAAGAGCAAAACAAGTGAAGACATCAGCCAGGCCTCTAAGTACAGTCCAGCCTACTCACCAGACCCCTACTATGCTGCAGAGTCTGAGTACTGGACCTACCACGGGTCCCCCAAAGGTAGCCCCTCCATGGGTCACTGGAGTCAGTCACCTGTGCCAGGGACACAGGAGGTCAGGACAGACAGTAATCCGCTTCTTCCCACAATCATTCTAAATACGAATGTTTATAGGGTGTTTACACTGGCCTTTTATCCATTTAACAAGCATGTATCAAGGGCTAGCCATGGGTCTTAGGGATACACTGGTGAGCAAAATAAATCAAGTACCTATCCTTATGAAGGAGACATGGGTCCCAACCATGAGAGGGAGGTGATGTGAAAGAAGTAGAAAAGCTGATGGCAGGGACACACTGTCTAGCCAGAAGATGACAAAAACTTCTCAGATGCAGTGACTCAGCTGCCAAAGTTAGGCTGACAAGGAGCTAAGTTAGCAGAGAGTGGAACAAATCTGAAAAGACCCAAGATATGAGGGCGGGTTCCATTACAAAAAAGGAAAGGCTGTCAGCCTGATTTGAGCTCATAAAGGGATGGAAACAGTGGAGGATGAGGGAGGAGGCCCCATGGGGCTTTGTGGGTTGAAGTATGGATTTTGGTTTTTATTCTAAACAGTGAGAAATTATTAAATGTAGTGACATGATCACAGCCATGCTTTTTTTCATTAAGTATTTTTTAATTGACATATATTAGTTGTTCATTTTTATGGGGTGCACATTTGGGGGGGTTGTTTGTTTTTTAGAGTAATTTTTGTTATAGGGTATGTGCGCTTGCTGGAGAGACAAGAGATGGAAAATGAGGAATCAACCCCCAGAAGGAGATGGCCACACCACAATCCTATCCCCTCCATTCTCCTCTTGGGACTTTGGGCACACATGCACATACGCCCAGCATGAGTTTCAAGCCTCCAGGTCTGGGACTTGAACTATGTCTCCTATTTGGGAGTCCATCAACATAACCATTATAGCATCTGCTGGTCCCACACATTTGTTTTTGATAAACTGCTTTGGCTAGAGGGTGAAAATGGGTTAGAAGGATGGAACAAGAAAGGATATAAGAGATGAGAGGCACCAGTGGGCACCCAGCATGGGTCTTAGAGGTCCTTAGGGCACCATCCCACTCAATGAGACAGCCCAAGCTATTTCTTTCAAGCAGGGGGAGGAATTTTCCACTTCAATTTAGCATACACTTTCACTAACTGTCCATTCTGAGTAAAGCCTCGTGGAAGCTCAGAGATGACTCATTACCCTCAAAGAATTCCCCACTTAGAAAAGGAGGTAAGACATAACTGTAACCTAAAGTGGGTGTTGATCAGTATCCACAGGAGATAGTGTCAGAAGCTATAAAAGCAGGAAAGACCCCTCCTGGCAGGCATGATGAGTATCTTAGACAAAACTACTTTAAGCAGAAAGAAAGACAAACAGAAAGAGAGAGACAGAAAGAGAAAGAAAGGGGAAGAAAAAAAAAAGATAGACAAACAACCTCAAGCCAGAGCGGGCTGAGTACATCCAGCACGCACTGGCACTCATCCTGTCTGTCTATTGGCAGTGCCCCGAGCCAGAAGGTTCTCATCTGGAGGAGAGGAGGATGATTTTGACCGCAGCATGCACAAGGTAAGATTACACCACTGGAAAAGATGCTTAAAGGGTAGGGGCTGGACAGTGGCACAGTAGTAAAACACAACACTTTGCGAGACTGACTCACATGGAAAGATTCCCAGTTCATGCCTGGAGACTTCCCTGAGTATGTTGGCACACACATGCCCATGACCTAGTGCAGACTGAAGCTGAGGGTGCTGTCTCTCTCTCTCTGTTCCTTTCTTTTGTCTCTCTCACCATGGAAAAAAAGATCAGCAAACACTTTTTTAGACTTTTCTTTTCATTTTTGCCAGAGGGCACATCCACTCACCGAGGAGAAAAGGAAAGACAGAGAGAATGGAAAGTGAGAAAGCACCCCATATGGAGGATGATCACACCATAATCCTTTCTCCTCCATTTCTCCTTTCAGGATTTTGGGCAAGTACATAAACGTGCTCAGCATAATTTTCAAGCCTCTAGATCCAGGATTCAAATTGCATAATCAGCCATGTGGGATCCTACCATGCCACAGGCAGGCCCTAAATTGTTTTTTAAAAGGTGCCTGAGGGCATAACATTGAGGATTTTTCATTTCCAAGTGAAGGAAACCAAATGCAAACTCATTTATGATGGAAAAAAGAAATGCACAACTTTGCATATTTGAAAAGTCAAATGGTAGGACTAGATTCAGTTGCTCAAAAGGAAGGGGAAAAAATGCCATTAAAGAAGTTGTCTCTCTTGGGCCATCTAGTGGCCTGGTGGGTAAGGGAACTGGATCTCACATGGCTGAACGTGCAAGTCCCAAACCCAGCCACTTGAATAACACACTGGGCAGCTGTGCATGTGTGCTTGCCCAAAATCCAAAGAGGAAAAAAAGAAATTCCAAAAGGAGGGAGAATTGGAGGAGAAGGTATTGCAGCATGATCATCATCCATGGGGGGAGGGGTGCTGCCTCACTTTCTTTCTCTCCCTGTCTCTATCTGTCTCTATTCAGGAAGTGCATGTTACCTCTGGCAAAATTTTTTTAAAAAATCTTAAAAAGTAAAAGTTGTTTCTCTTCTCTTCATGCTCAGACAGGCTCTTTCCAAGAAGTGGTAAGGGGTAAGCCTGACCCTATATGTTGCTTGTGGGACTGCAAAATAATACGGCAACTGTGGAAAAAGGTAGTTCCTCAAGAAATTAAATATTGAAACACCATATGACCTAGCAATTCAACTCCTAGGTATCTACCCAAAAGAATTGAAAATAAATACATGAACACCTGTGTTCATAACAGCACTATTCACAATAGCCAAAAGATGGAAACAAAACAAACACCCCTCAGTCACACAGAGATAAAGAAAATATGGTTTATCCATACACTGGAATGTTGTTTGGCCATAAGAAGAAATGAAGTACTGATACTGCCTCACATGGATGGATCTCAAAAACATTATGCCTAGAAGAAGAAGCCAGACACAAAAACTCACATGTTGTATGTTTTAATTGTGGGATTCCATATATGAAATATTCAGAACAGGCAAGTCCATAGACATAGAGCATAGATACTGGTGAACACTGGGAAGGGGAGAAAGGAATGGGAAATGACTGCTTAGTGGGTCCAGGGTCTCCTTTGGGAGTTGTAAAGCTGCATTGAAACTAGCTAGAGGTGATAGTTGCACACATTGTGAATAAATGGTTAATTTTAAGTTAGGTGAGTTTTCACCTGAAATGAAACAAACAAATGATAGTTATCTGCCCATCACTGGACCAGCCACTGTGGCCAGGGCAATATGATTCCATCGCTGGTCAGGGGCAGGCCTGCTTCTTGGTGCCCACCACCAGAGCTCCACGCTGAAAGGCCTACCTGGGGAAGAGAGATGAAGGCCCACAGAAAGTATGGGTGCTCCAAGAAGGGAAGGATGCCAGGAAGGCAGAAATGGCAGGGCTTTGCTCTAGAGGGTCCGATCACTCAGTCTTGCTCAAGCCTATTCCAGCTCAGGCTCCTTTGTTTTCCTCTGACCTCATCTTTCCCTTCCCCATCCCCAGCTCCAGAGTGGAATTGGCCGGCTGATTCTGAAGGAGGAGATGAAAGCCCGGTCGAGCTCCTATGCGGATCCCTGGACCCCTCCTCGAAGTTCCACCAGCAGCCGGGAAGCCCTACACACAGCTGGCTATGACATGTCCCTCAATGGCTGTAAGCAGGGCTCTGAAAGCCCAGTGGGGTGGGGGCACTTTCCTTGGTGACTGCCTGACTTTCACTGGATGTGCACTTTGAGTCAGGTACCCTGCATCTCCTCTCTTCTTCCTCACAGCAGTCTTGTGCAATGGATGTCATTGTCACCCCCACATTATTACAGATGGGGAACTGTCCCCTTCTGTGTAAGGCACAGAAGGCTTTGGTAACCTGCCCACAATAACTCTGTTTACAAGTGATGGAGCTCACTTAAACTGGTCCCCTGCCTATTTTTATAAATTAAGTTTTGTTTAGAACACAACTAGCTCCAAACTCTATCCCTTGGGCTAACAAATTGGGAGAGGCTGGCCACAAAGGTCTGCCCCATGTCCTCACACTTCTCCATCTCTGGCACTCCCTCTGGGAGCCTCACCTGAGCCTGAAATATAGATTTGGTGAGGGGTTGTATGGGGCACCAAATGAGACCATGCTAGGACCTGAGCAGCCGCTCTGTTATGGCTATAATTGCTCATCAGTTCAGTGTAAAGAAAAACATCTAATAATCTGAATGGCTCAAAGATAGAAGGCACCACTCCTGAGGTAGCGAGCCTCCCATTACTTGGAGGTATATAAGCAGAGGCTTCATTCAAATACTCTTCCTTTAGAGTCTCTCATTGTAAGCCCCTCCGTGTTCCTGGGCACACGCATGTACTTTGACTACCTCCTCCTTTTCTTACCCTTTTGATACTCAGTCCTACCAGGAAATATCATTTCAGATCAATGGCATTTGATACTTGATGCATAATAAGAGGTGTCACTTATTAAACTCCCATGTTTCGGGTATTACCAGACACCTTAACACTCCTGGTCCTCACATAAGACCCACTATGTAGAGGGATTCTTACCACCTATCTTATAGATGAGAGAACCAAGGTTAAGTTACTTGCCCAAGGTCAGAAAGTCAGTAAGTGACTAAGCAGACTCAGACCCAAATTGGAGTAACTCCCAAGAATATGAGATTTTTTCCTCTTCATCATGCTACACCTTGACTGTCAGTGAGACTGAAGATGATGGTGCTGATGAAGATCAGGCCAGTGTTATGGAGTGCTATATGTATGTTAGGCACTGTGCTAAGATACTCGTATCTTACTGTGTTGTGTTCTATCTTCTTCTTCTATCTTCTTCACACTGTGTGTGTGTGTGTATCCCTCATACACACACACACACACACACACACTCACACTCTACTGATGAGCAAAATGAAGTGTATTATGTAATTTGTTGAAAATCAGGTATCTGCTAAAGACAGAGCTGGATAAGCTGCTGCGCCTGTTTCCTGTCTGGCCACTGAGGAACACTGTTTTCAACCCCTGGCTGACTCTGGGCTCTGCAGTGTGCCAATGCTCAAAATTCCCCTCCATTCTACTGCATCTGTGCGCAGAGCACCTGCCCTGTACCAGGTGCTGGCTAGGAGCTGGGGGCCAGTGTGTGAGTTGGTGGGGATGGAGTACAGGTGCAACAGTTGAAACTGACCAAGGAATGGGAAAGTAGGTGCTGAAAGAGTCCTCTCCACCCCATGATCCAGGGTGGCCAGAAATGAGACCATGTCTGTCTGTCCCCATGGACACTGATCTCGAAATTTTCTCTTGCAGCCCCTCGGTCACACTACCTGGCTGACAGCGGTATGTTCTGCCTGCCTTCCTTCAGCCCATTGTGTCCTGTGAGGGCCACAGCTGAGTCAGCTGAAGTTCCCCACAGTGCTGATGACCATTCAACATGGCTGTGCCAGCACAGTCCTGATCTCCAATAGTCCACCTCATTGTATTTGTCAGATCTGGGCCTCACTGGGGATTCCAGAACCAGGGTGGCCATGCCCAATAGCTCTCAGGGAGAAAGAAAAACCTCATGCCTCTGCCACCCACCAGACGGGCTAGCTCTGAGCTTCACTCCAGTTCTAGGATCTTTGTCCAGAGTGACCATGGACACAGGAGTCCATAACAAAAGGACAGATGTATACAGGTCACGACCAAAGGGTGTATGAGAACATGCCTCCAGTGAGCCCAGAATTTTGCCAAAGTGAGATGCCCCTGAGACAGTCATCTTTCAAGTCTGGAGAGTATCAGGAAGTGTTGGTGGCCTCTAGGCCCCACCTTGCCACTGGATTGGGAGTAATATTGGCCATTTGTCAGCAGATGACTTCAGCAAGAGGGCCCCCTTGCTTGGAGCTCCTAATAATTGCTGTGGCCCCTTCTTTTCAGATCCCCTCATCTCCAAATCTGCCTCCCTGCCTGCCTACAGAAGAAACGGGCTCCACAGGGTAAGAGGGACTGTACTGGGGGACATTGCCCAAGGTGTTGCCCCATCCAACATTGGCTCACTATTCTGAAGATTACCATTTTAAACCCTGTTTTAGAGGAAATGGAGGCATAGAGCAGTGAGGTGACTGGTCCAAGCTCTCACACTGAATAAGTGGTAGAGTCAGGATTCAGGCCTAGACCAACTGACCCCATAGCCCACAACCATGTTCCATTGGCCTCTAGCCTGGCTTGATACTTGTGACATAAAAACCTTCATGGAAGCTGGTTTATAGGCTGAAAGGAGGCAAAAAATATGTCCTGTTTGCAATAACAGAGGCTGTGCAACTGGACAAATAATGGGGCACATGGCAGGATCATTGAGATCGAAGAGCTTAGGTGCTTTACTGAGCACCTAATTGCCAGGCACTGTTTTAGGGGCTGGGAGCCCTGCAGTGAATACATTTGCTGCTCCTGAAGAGCTCACATTTCACTTGGGACATGGACCATAAATGAGAAAATGTATGATGTGAAGTTGGGTAGTCAGAGGTGTTAGGATGGAAAACAAGGCCAGAGGTAGAGAGACAAAGGGATTGAGGGGGCTGAATTTAAACAAAAGCCCAAATGTAGAAAGGAACCTCACTTCTGGAAGACTGGCAAGAGTGATCCAGATGGAGGGATGCACAGCAGGGAGGGCACTATGAGCCAGTGTGGCCAGGATAGAGCGAGCAGGTGGGTGGTGTAAACCAAATCAGATTTTTTGGTTTTTCTTTTTTTTTTTAGAAATCTTTGCAATAGGGCACATGTGCTTGCCAAAGAGACAGAGAAAGACAGAGAGCAAGAAATCACTCCCTAGGAGGGATGGCCATGCCACAGTCCCTTCTCCACTCTCCTCTCAGGATCTTGGGCAAACACACACACACACACACACACACACACACACACACATGCACCTAGTGTGAGTTTCAAACTATCAGGTCTGGGACTTAAACTGCAGACAACCACGTGGGACTCTAGCACCTTAATCACTATTTCACCTGCTGGCCCACAGCTTTCTAACGGGATCTCTCCAGCTGTCATGTGAAATAGTCTGAGGGACTGAGATGGGAGCCATAGATCCATTCAGAGATTTTGTGAGGGCAGGGCCCACAAAAAGGATCAGATGCCCCTGGAGAGCAATCACTGGTGTTTATGACCCCTGCCCATTGAGGAACACACAGACCCTGCCTCGACATGCTGAGAGTTCAGACATACCTTCACCCAACAGACACTTAATACAAGCCTTTTCTAAATGCCAGTTGTTGGCTACTTAGAATCCATCAGTAACCAAAACAAAGATCCCTGCCCTTTGGAGTTTACATTCTTATCAGGAGAAACAGAAAGTAATAAATAGTATACAGGTTAAATCATATAGAATGTTTAAAGATAGAACTGTGGAAAAAAGAAAAAAGTTGACCAAGATAAGGACTGATAGTTCACAGAGGGGGCAATTTGTAATTTCCAGTAAGGCTTTTAGGACAGATTGTATAGAAAACCAGGTACAAAGCAATGAAAGAAGTCATTAGATGAAATTACTCAAATAAAAGGACACATGACACAGGGCCTACTAGGAACCAGGCACAAGGACAGCAGTGAGCTGAATTCCTCTCATTTAAGACTGAGGCTGCCAAGAAGGCCCATGTCCTACTGGCCCTGTGGGTATGGGTGTGTGGGTTCTTCAGGGAGGTAGAGATGAGCCTATCTCAGGCTAGCCTGGCTCTGTCTCCCCTGCAGACACCCAGCGCAGACCTCTTCCACTACGACAGCATGAATGCAGTCAACTGGGGCATGCGAGGTGAGTGTGGCCCTGCCAGTGGTCTACAGGAAGAGGGCCCCTCCTTGGACTTCCCAGATGTACTGTGTATAACAGTTGCTGGCCCTTCAGCAAAGGATTACTATGATTCTGTCCCCACCCTGGGCTCTCTCCACACCCCAAATCACTACTTCCTCCCTTGGCCCTGCCTTTCCCTCATCCTCTCAAGTCCCCAGTCTTGGGTGATCTCCAAGCCATCTGTCCCATCTGGGTTCCCAGAGACATCACAGAATCATTTTCCCTGTAGTGCTGAGCTGGAAATCCCCACCATCCCTGGTAGAGGGAAGTGCCCAGAGCCAGATAACATTGCTCCCAGTGAGGATCCATGAGCTTCGATGCCCTCTTCCAGTGAAACTCTCATGGCAGCCTCTACCAGCTCCACCAGAAGGCCCAGGCAGGAGGTCACACCAAATCCCTGAGGATTTCCCCAGAAGATAGAGGCTCTCACTGTGCTTCATGATCTTGGCTCACCCTGTTTCCCCTCTCCAGTCACCCATCATACTCATATCAGCCTTGCTTGTCCTCTAGGGACAGGCTTTCTGGGTAGTTAAGAGGAGAGGTACAGAAACCAGACCTCCTGAGAAACAAAGACTGATGGACTCCACTGTGTGTGTGTATGTCTCTTTTCTCTCTACAGAGTACAAGGTAAAGGACATGATATACCCTGGGGGTCTCCAGAATTCATAGAGCTGCTACACTGGGGACCAGCAGAAGGAGACAGCACCTTCTATGCAGGGAAGGGAACATAAATAAATAACCCCATCAGTCCTTTCAAGACAAATATTTCCTGTCCCTCCTTGGCCCACTTTCCCTGTAATAGGTCTCTTGCCTACTGAAATCAGGCAGCTCCCCTGTACTCAAACACTCAGGTGGCTTACCAATCACCCAATATTAGACACTTACTTTCAGGAGACCTTGTGCTATATTAATGCCAAATGCCACCAAGCTTATCCCTAGCAGTAGTAAGAGAACTTTTGAGGGCCTTGCCTATTGACAGAAGGTATTTTAAAGTTGCTGGGCAACTCCAAAATGTGCAGACCCAGTCCTTCCTCCAGACTTCATCTCTGGCCCTTTTTGAATAGAGGGGGGAGCCCAGATACAAAGTATAGTTGAAAGAGTGAAGCCCACCACCGTCGCCAAACTGGAAACCCTCCTTTCACCTTAGATCTACCCTTACGAACTGCTGCTGGTGACCACGAGAGGGAGGAATCGACTGCCCAAGGATGTGGACAGGACTCGCTTAGAGGTAAGTCTAGGACACTCAGAAAGAACCTTTGGGTTTGAAGGGATTCCAGAAGTTTCTTTATCTAAGCCAGCGTGGGAGATATGGGTGGAATGAATGCCTTTAAGGTCACACAGCTTGATGAAGAAGCAGAGACTTGAACCAACTTTCTCAGCCCAAGCCTGTTCCATGCTGCTCTGTGCTGCCTTCCCCTCAGTTTAGCAACTGTGGTGTGCAGCCAGTGTCCTCAGTTGGGGCAGGTGCACCTACAGATACAGGAGGAGAGAGAGATCTGGCTCTGCCCTTAGGGAGGGCCTGCATCTCAAGATTGCACAAAACACTAGTGCTTCTGATGGGAAAGGGTAAGGGAGAAAGGGGAAGGCTGCCCTGTATAGACAGCAAAAGCATAAATAAGTCTTGAGTCAATCTCTCTAGGTCCACACTCTGATTCTTTCATCTCTAGGTGGGCAGCTCTAATCAAGTGACTTCACTAAGCCTTTGCTTTCTTCTCTGTAAAGTGAAGGTGACTGTAGTGCTTCCTCCAGATGCCAAGAGAAATGAATGGGGCAATACCCATAACACAGGGTCTAGCAGGGTACTGAGTACTAAGTACTCCATACATGTTAGAAGCTGTTATTCTGAGATGACCACTGTGCTGGCTGACACAGGCTTGCAGGAAAAGGAAGGCTATGGATGGGCTTTGCAGGCAGGCCAGGATTGCAGGAATAGAGAATGGAAAGGGACCATCAGGAGTGGTGGAAACAGCATAAATAAAGTGCAGAAGTGGGCTGAGCAAGGCACTAGGCATTTGAGCAGTCCAGTCCACCTAGCATGCCATTCAAGTTCTTGGTCACTTCTGCCTGAGAGCACACTCTGCCCTTTATAGCCCAGAACTTCTCCCTGCCTCTCCTTCTCTCTAGAATGCCCCTCTCACCCTTCAAGTTCCTACATTAGCAATCCCTGTGCTCCAAGTCTCCTCCACCTCTCCCCAGGATGGGTCATTCACCTCTCCCTCCAGCCTCCCCCAGTCTTGTATCCAGAGTGCAGATAATGAACCTCTCACTCTCCTTAGTATTTGATTTGACTGATACATTTCCTCTGAAATTATTAGGGGCAAAAATAGCACTGGAAGTGGTGTCAGGAAATATTCGTGGAGTTGAACTCAGACTTTTGAAAGAGGATGCTCTGCACTCCTCAGGAAAAGAGGGTAGGAGCCCCCTTGACCTCATGCTGAGGAATTTGCTCAGGGTAGAGGACTGGAACAGAAGAATGCCAGCAGGCCAGGAATCTCTATGAATCTCCAGCTTTAGTGTGCTGGGTTAGCAGCTTGAGCAAGTGGATGAGTCTCTCCACATCCATAACAAGGGCCTCCTTCTTTCACCACCTCCAAGTGAGCATCTCTGGTGCTGAAGGGGACAGCTCCCAAGGCAGCTCAGTGGAAGCAGCACCAACAGAGAGAGCAGCTCAGGCCAGGGAAGCTCAACCTTTCCTGAGCATCAGAATCATCCAGGGAGCTCTATAAAAATACCATATAAGCATCTCACCCTAGAGCAGTTAAATCACAAGCTGGGGAAGGAACTCAACCATCAGTTTGTTTGTTTTTTCAATTAACCCAAAAATTGTATGGTGTGGTTTTTCAGCACATTTTAAAAATGTATACGTAAGTCTTTCTAGTATGAAAAAATTAAATATATGAAAGAGAGAAACTAGCAGCATACGTATGTTCACTACTCAGATTCAGTAATGTCAAGAGTTTGCTACATTAAATTGTATGGTGTGGTCTTTCAATGTGTAATGATGAAATCAGGATAACTTTCATATCCGTCATCTCCAACATTTATCATTTATTCGTGTTGGGAACATTTAAAGAAATCCTCTTTTCTGGCTAACTGGAAATACATAATAACTTACAGTTAACTGTAGTCACCCTCCTGTGCTATAGAGCAGTAGAACTTACTCCTATTCACTGTAACTTTGTGTTTATTAGCCAACGCCTCCCTATCTCCACCAAATCCCTATCTTCTCCATCTCTATAGTAACTAATATTCAACTCTCTACCACTATGAGGTCAACTCTTTCAGCTTCCACTTGTGAGCGAGAACATGTGCTTTTTCTTTCTGTGCAGGCTTATTTCATTTAACAGTATTTTTAAAGCTTTCAGGAATTTCTAATCTGTAGCCTGAGCTGAGACCACTGGTCTAAAAACACTGTCTTAGTCCCATGCACCAGTTCAGGGAAAGGACTAAAGAAGAAAGACTCTGATCCTGTCTTCAAGAAGCTCAGAGTATAAATATTCATTCATCCCACAAATAGTTATTCGATGTCTATTGTATTAGGTTGTCTGAGAAGTGATGATGTATTTTTCTTTGTTTTCCTATGCAAAAATGCATCATGACTTTTTTGACAACCCAATGTATGCCTCGTACTGTTGAAAGTGCTTGTAACATATCAGTGAACAAAACAGAAACCTCTACCTTTTTGAAGCTTGTATTCTTGTGTGAGGAGACAAATGTTAAATGACACAAATAATAAGTAAATGATAGAAGATATTAGAAGATAACAAGGGTTAAGGAAAAATGAGAGCAAATGAGGGGGATCTGGAGTCAGAGAGAGAGGGGTTTGCATTTCAAATAGGGTAATCAGAACAGGCCTCATTGAAAATGCTACATGTGAACAAAGATTGAAGCAGGTGAGGGAGTGAGTCATGCTTTCATAATAAGGGAAGAGCAGGTGCCGAAGCCCTTACTGCAGGAGCAAACCTGGTGTGTTTGAGGATGGCAAGAAGTAAATGTCACTGGATCACAGGAGCCAGAAAAGATGAGGAGATAAAGTCAAAAGAAATGGAGGATAGGTCACACTATGTGACAAACACATGAAAGATTATTGCAACAGTGAAACCAAGTAATGATAGAGTGCTGAGCATCCTCTCCTCCATCTAGACAGAATCCATGAGGGTACTGGACGCTCTCATTTTCCAGAAGAGGAGACTGAGACTCAGGAGTAGTTAGGTAATTTGTTCAAGATCACTTGCCTGCCCTAAAAACTGTGCTCTTAATCATTCTACTTTAAAGTCTGTGATGAATGTTAAACAGGCAAGGGTTGGCATTAGCCCTGAGAATTCAAGGAAGGAAGGAGGTCCAAGTTGGACCTTAGGAAATGGGAAGGAATAAAGACTTGGTCTCCTCTGTGTGTGTTCTATCTGTAGACACTTTACCTGTGGTTGAGTTTACCTTCCTTTGTATCCAGCCTCCTAAAAAGGACTTCCCACACAGGAGAGAAAACTAGCTAGAGAGTTACAGTAACCACCAGCCTCCATCAATAAAAGAACAATGAAGAGCAAGTGACAGTTGCCCTCAGTCTTTACTATGGAAGAATCAGAGCAATCCCACATATACAAACTACTTTGCAGCACTCACTTGAACAAAACAAATATGGACATGTCAAAACATGAAAAGGGAATGGATGGGTATTTAAGGGGCCTAACAACCCAATGTGATATGCGGGTGCTGTTGGATCTTTATCAAAACAGACCAGCTATAAAAAGACACTTTTGAGACAATTGGGGAGATTATATTATGGACAGAAACTAGGTAACTCTGAGGAATGATTGTTAATTTTGCTTAGGTTTACTCATAGCATTATGGTTGCATGAGAACATATCCAATATGTTTTGAGATACAATACTCGAGTATATAGGAATGAATTGGCATAATCTCTAGGCTTTGCTCTAAATAGCAAAGGGCCTGCCTTATAGCCTGCTGGTTAAGGGAGCTGGATCCTACATGGCCAACTGCATTTCAAATCCCAGACTCAATGACCTGAAAAACATACCGGCTATTCATGTCCCAAATCCCATCAGTATAGAAAAATGGAGGAGGAGGGACTGCAGCATGACCACATCACATGGGGTGGAGGTTTCTCCTTCTCTCTTTCTCTCTCTCTGTCTCTCAGTCTCTCTCTGGTGAGAACACATGCCCTTTGGCAATAGAAAAAAAATACTTCAGCAAAGAAAAAATGAAACATATATTACAAATTCTTGATACTACTGAATCTGAATAATGGATATGTACCTGGTACTATTTTTTATGCTTTTTTCCTTAATAGAAGACCTATGAATTCATTTTTAAATGGGATTTTCCAAAAGGGGCAGATATAATGCACCACATTTGAAATTAGAAGACCTGGCTTTTTATTTCAGCTCTGCTATTTATTCAACCTCCTTTCTTTCCTTCCTCTCTCCCAGGCAAGTCATTTTAATTCTCTGAGTTGGCGTTTTCTCATTTTTCAATTGGATAAAAATAATTTCTCATTTTTCAGAGTGGCCAGAAGGATTACATGAGAAAAATGAGGATGTAACTATTGAGCATAATACAAATGTGATACAAGAAATTGTTGGTATTAAGAACCATTAAGCACGGAAAAAACAATTCAAAGTCATCAGTGGCCAATGATATCTATCAAAATTATCAAAGTTATCTTTGCTTGAAAATCTGGAAATGTGGCTAAAATATTAGTTTACGGTAAAAAGTAAGCCAAAGAACTAGACAATTTTTGTGTGCCTATATGCATAATTCTTATCAAACTTCTTTCAATTTTACTTTGAAAAATGTCAGACTTTCAGAAAGTTGCAAGACTAGTAAAATAAACATCTCTCTGCCCTTTACCTAAATGCAGCAGTTTGCCACATTTTAAGTGCTATATACCTTTAACTATAAAAGCATTGACAAGGGGCCAGCAAGTGGTGTAGTGGTTAAGGCACTGTGGCCAACTGTGGGTTTAGTCCTGGACCCAGAACTTGAAACTCATGTCAGGTGCATGTACATGAGTGCCCAAAATTCCAAGAGGAGAGTGGAGGAGAAAAGATTGTGGCATAACCACCCCCCTGGGAGGTGATTTCTCATTTTCTATCTCTGTTTCTCTCCCTCTTTTTCTCTCTCTCTCTCTCTCTCTCTCTCTCTCTCGTGAGTGCCCATACCCTATAGCAAAAACTCACACTTTGAGATTGCTTTAAAGAGGGAGAAAAGAAGGGTAGAAAGAGGGGATAATCCAGCATGGAATGTAGAGCAAGTTTTAATCATGTACCATGCTTGTTTTTATTAAGACAGATAAAAGGACTTTTCAGTGGGCCAAGGAAAATTAGCAGTAATTTCTTTTTCATTAACTAGACTGATATCCATCCTTCCTGATTATGTGTAAAAACATTAATAAGAAGTTACTTAGGAGGCTGAGACAGATGGATCATGAGCTTGAGGCCATCCTGGTCAATACAGTGAAATCCCGCCTCTTAAAAAAAATACCAGTAAGAGTGAATGCACCCTAAAATCTTGCACTTGCTTCCCAAAGGGGAGTGGGACAGCATTATAGCATACAAACTTCTGGAAATACATACTTAGAACAGGAACTCAGAAAGATGAGATCAACCAGAGAGCACTGAGGGAAGGTTAATCAAAGCATTAAGTTCCTGAATTATGGGCAATGGAGGCCTCACTAGTAAAATCAGCTCTAGAGGCCCCTTGATGGAAACACTCATTTTCACATTCATTCATTCAACAAATACTGCATACCTGGGGCAGACACTGTGCCAGTATGAGGCACAGGGCACCCTGAGGGAACACCCAGTGACCTCTGCTGCTTCTCCTCACCCCCAGTGACAGCTCACATCCTCACATGCTGTTCTCTCCCTGCACCTCCCCCCATCTCCTCTCAGCGCCACCTGTCCCAGGAAGAGTTCTATCAAGTCTTCGGCATGACCATCTCCGAATTTGACCGACTGGCCCTCTGGAAGAGGAATGAACTGAAGAAGCAAGCCCGGCTGTTCTAGGCAAAGGCTCTATAAATATATATGCATTTATATAAAGATATATGTGAAATCTCTATACTGAAGCTCGGTATAATCCTCTCTTGTGTATAACAGGACATGCTGCCTGCCATGAGACTTGCTCTTCTGTACTGTCAGGCAAGCCCACATCATCGAGATATTTTTATGCTCCTCACTTTCTCTTTTCTAAGTGCTGTGGGACCTGGGAAGGGATTTGAGGGGACTCCGTCCTTTTATTGGGGATCTTTTTTATACTGAAACATCTATTCTAACTTGAGTCTCCCAAGGTCCAACACTCTTTACTAAAAAAGGTGCCTGAAGTCTCTCTTCTCTCTGCTTCTTGGCCCTTTCCTCAAGGCTCCAGGGCTGATGCTGACCATGCAGTCTTCACTCTTTATTGGCCCAGGGGGGTGGGAGGGCTTCTGTGGGAGGAACTGCATTCATCTCCCAAAATCACTGAGCACCCTTAAGAGCCCGCAAAGAATCTTCCCAACACCTCCACTTAAGAGCTCAGTGTCCTCGGGGGATGATGCACTACAGTGTGAGCCTCAAACCTACTCATTCCACCAGTACCCAAAAGTGGATAGGGCCTTGGCCTCTCCTCAGCCCTTCAACCCTTCTTCTTCTGCCCTAGATCCTAACTTCTCCCTTGTCTAAATCTAGAGCTCGTAGTAGGAAGAGAAAAAAGGCACTTTCCTTCCCTCCAACACTTTGAAACTGCCCATTTCCATGCCCTGAACCTGAAGACCCGCAGGAAAAGAGAGGAGGCTGGAAGCAAGACAGAGATCAGGGCACTTACTATAATTGAAGCTGCAGGACCTCTTAGGATCCTCCCTCTCCCTCACTGTTCCCATCACCTCCTGACTTTTCCCCCTTTCCAGGAGAGGCCCCTATTACAGCCTGTATTCTTCAGCCTTATTTCTATCTATGTGCCTGACAACTCAACACCCACAGGGCTACTGTTCCCATCATAGCACCAACTGAACAACTAGACAGACATTCTAACCACTACTCTAGAGGCAAAATAAGCCAGGACCTTAAGAAAGGTTCTTGGTCTATGCCTGCTGGTCCTTGGGCCACCAAGGTCATAATAGTGAACTCCCCCAGTCCTTGGCTCCTTCTACAAAGTTGTCTATGTTTCATGGCAGAAACTTTTGAAAGACCAGCTGTTTATGAGATTCCAAAAATGAAGTGTTGGCCAACACTGACCATGGTCACCCTGGATTTCCCCAGCAGCTGCCTTACTCATGAATTGGTGATTATTTGTTGGAGATGCCTTGTGCTGGACCATTTTGAGATTCTGGAAGAAAGATGAAGAAGTGGAAATGACAATTGTGACTCTCAAGAGGCTGGTGATGTAACATGACATATGTAGAACTGACTTTAATTCAACAAACCCTCACTGAGCACCTGCTGATGCTGAGCACCTTCTGAATACTGAGCACCTAATGGGGGAGGGGGAGGGGACACTGGGAAGAACAAACATGGGCCCCATCTCAGGGGCATGCCTGGTCCTAGAAGGTATTGAGGCATAAAGCCAGACATAACTATGGAAGGCAGAAAGTGATAGAAGGCATGAGAAAGTGTTTTGGACATGATTATCAAGGAATATGCAGTTAGTTCAGACCAAGGAAAGATTTGGGGAAGAAACTGCATTTGAGCAAAATTCAGGAAGGATTTTTATAAACTGGGAGTAGACTGTAAATTGACAGGGTGATGGAGTGAGGGACCCAGAAGGGAAGTCTAATATACTCTCTTTGAAAATGTCAAGCCTTCCTGCAACTTCTCTTTTTGGCCAATGTCTTTCATCTTTCCTGACCCTTTAGAAATGTCCCCAGCCAGATGCAATCATTGAAACTGCCTCATTATCACTGGTTGAGAACAACTTGGCGAGATTGAAGGGCTTTTGTTATTGTTGTTGGATATTTTTGTTTCCCATAAAAGCACATCATTTCAACCCAAACCTGTGTCCTGTTGTTTCTAGTATGAGTATAAATGACTGACATGGGAAGAGACTAAACCATGTGTGTTTCCCAAAATAAATCACCCAGAGAGCAGCCATTCTTTTGGCTTCTCCTACTGTAAATGAGAGAGTTTGAAAAGGTAAACATAAACCAGAATGTAGAGTCATTCTAATACAAAGAACAAATAAAGTTCTACAAACAATAGTAGTTTCACATTAAATACCAACAATAGGCCAAGTTCAGTGTGAGGGCAACACCCATCATCTAATTTAAGCCTCTTTAACAACTCACAAGGTAGCCATTAGTAATATCTCTATCTCATAATGAGGAAACAGCTTTGGAGAGGACACTTAAGTACCACTGTAGAGCCAGGACTCATTTCCAACCTGTCTAGAGAGAACTTATCACTCTTAGTAGGCAGAACCTTTCAGCTACATGAAAAGACCATCTTAAAGATGTAGTCAACCACTGTTCAAATCCTAGACCTGGAAACTTCAAACTCACACTGGGCTTATGCACATGAGTATCCAAGATCCCAAGAAGAGAAGGAACTGCAGCGTCGCCATTCCCCGTCATGTGAGTGGGAGGGGAATTCTCACTTTCTGTCTGTCTCTCCGGCAAGTACATGCACCTTCTAAATATCTCTCTTTAAAAAAAAAAAAAAAGTGGCTTCAACAGTGAGGACACACATTGTCTTGCACAACCAAAAGGCCAAGGTACAGAATTGGTAAATTCAACAGCTTAGTGATATAGCTCAGAGCTAGGTTTTTGCATTTCATCCCTCCACTATCCTCAGCATGTTGGCTTTTATCCTTAGCCAGTGTGGACTTCCACACTTACGAGAGACTGTTATGCCTTCAGGTATCACATCTTCATTGAACACTTCAAAACAAAACAAAAAGAATTTTTTCTATTTTAATCAGAAAAACTTCCCCAGAAGTCCTCAAGAAACTTCTGCTCATGTCCCAACTGGTCAAAACTAGAGAGTACGTCCTTGTCTATCCTGCAGTGCAGGCTGGAAAACTTGAGTATTTGGCATTTTCAGCCTCTGTAGTGGGAGGTGGGCCTCCTGCCAACGGGAACCAAAAGATACTGGCTAGAAAAGAATGACCACTAAAGAAGCAAATCAGAGTGTCCCACTGTGTCATTTAAAAGGCTCATGTTCTGGGCCAGCAGGTGGGATGGTGTTAAGGCTCTGGATTCCCACATGGTGCACAGCAGTTCCAGTACCAGAACTGGTAGCTTGAAAAATCATGTTAAGCACATGTGCATGCATGCCCAAAATCTCAGGAGGAGAGTGGAGAATCTCTCCCCCAAAAAAGAAAGAAAGAAAGAATGGAAAAGAAGGAATTGTGGTGTGGTCATCTGCCTCCCCACCCCAGCCCTGGGAGTGATTTCTCACTTCCCCATCACTGTCCAAGTCTTTCCAGCGAGCCAGGTACCCATGGCAAGAAAAAAAAAAAAATCAAAACTCAAATTCCTTCCCTTGTAGACTCACAATGCACATTGAGAAAGTCCCAAGAAGTCCTGCAGTACCTTCTTTTAATCAAGTATTTCATAAACTAATTTGACATAAATCCTATTTAAGAAATGCTAAACTTTATGACGCCACAAGATATCCGCCGGAAGTGCATGGAGGACTTCCGGGGCATAGGCAGTCTCAGTGCTCCTGATATTCCCAGCTTCCAAGTGGTGTGCTGCTTGCTACGAGCTCCAGTCGCAGGGCACGCAGCCGCCATGTTCTATTTCTCTTACAGCAGCTTGAATTCATTTGCTTACACTTTACATGAGAAAGGATAAATATGACAAGGAAGCTCTAATGAACTATTGCTGGCCTGAAGATACTTGGTTTCACGTGAACAAACTCTCGGGCTCATTCATGGGTACCTTCCATTATCTGAGAGAGAGAAGACAGAAGACATTACAAAGGAAGTGCTGATGGGTGGTGCCCACCTTTTGAAGGCCAATTCTATTCAAGCCTGTAAGATGAACAACTTTAATGAGGTATATAGGCCGTGGTTTCATCTGAGGAAAATAGCTGACATGAATATGAGGCAAATAGGCTTTCACAAGCAAAAGGATGTAAAAATTGTGACAATGGGGAAAGAAGTGAATAATATCCTGAACCGATTAGAAAAGACCAAAGTGGAGTAGTTCCCAGATGTAGCAACAAAGAAAAAGAATGCAGAGATTGGGAAAAGAGGAATGAGGTAAAAGCCCAAATTCAGGAAATAAAAAGGAGAGAAAAAGAAGAAATGAAGAAGAAGGAAATGAATGAACTTGAGAACTAGTCATCACTAATGAAAGCAGAGAATATGTCTTCAAATCAGGATTGCAGTGATTGAGATGAATATATGCGAAAGGAGAAGACAGCTGTGAATGTAGACGTGAATGTAGAGACCACTGCAGATGTTTTGATTTCATCTATTGTTCTGAATTATAAAAAACAACCAATCAAAATTCTCCCTTCATACTCTACAGATACTCATTTGGGGCTTACAAAATCCTTTTTTTTAACTGACAGAAAAGGATTAGCTATGTAATATAGTTGCACTTGCGGAAAATGTACAACTTCTGGAAAGTGAAAATATTTTTCCAGAATATGTTTTGGTACCTCATGAAAGCTGGTTGCCCTTGTTTTTGAGTTAGACTTTAAAGTGAACCAATGCTGAAACGTATTTGTTGTTGTAATCTATCCCTGAAAATGGATGTCTTGGAATAGCTTTCATATTTTTTAAATCTCCTCATTTCTGTTAAGAATGTGTTGGGGGACCAGCAGTTAACATAATGGCTATGTCGCTGGACTCCCATGTAGTCAACCATGGTTCGAGTCCCGGACCCGGTGGCTTAAACTCACGCCAGGCGCGTGTGCGTGTGTGCCCAAGATCCCAAGAGTAGAATGGAGGAGAAGGGATTGCAGCATGGCCATCCCCTCTGGGGGGTGATTTCTCGCTTTCTATCTCTCTGTCTCTCTCTGTCTGGCGAGCGCACATGCCCTATAGCAAAAACCTCTCCAAAAAAAAGAAAAAGAAAGAATGTGTTGGGACCAGCAGATGGCATAATGGTTACATCGCTGGACTCCCAAGTAGTTGGCCGCAGTTTGAGTCACAGATCCAGTGGCTTAAAACACACCAGGCATATGTATGTGCCTGCCCAAAATCCCTAGAGGAGATCAGGAAAGGGATTGCAGCATGGCCATCCCCCCTGGGGAATGATTTCTCACTTTCTGTCTCTCTGTCTCTCTCTGATGAGGGAATGTCCCCTGTAGCAAAAATCTCTAAGGAAAAAAAAAGAAGGTGTCAGTGAACAATACATGAAATGGTCCCCTGTCCCTGACCTCCTGGTTAGGGAAAAAGGCATATTGGTTTTGCAAATGAATGTGAGATTTTTAGAAGATTGCTGGCTTTAGCATTCATATTTCATGGTGTCATCTGAGTCTATTACTGCAGTGATCCTCAGCTCTCAGCTTGTCCCAGCTTCTGTGTCCTTGCTGTCTCTCCATCTTCTTAATAAAATCATTGCATTTTAAAAAGTGGAGGATATTAATCAAGTTTGAGCTTTGTGGCTTTTGTTACCTGAGTACCAAGTAACCCAAGCCACATTTGTGACCAGGCACTGAAGTCATTTCTAAGCAATAAGGGGGAAATATTATAGAAAGGAGTGCCCCGTAAATCATTCATAGTTTTTGGGTTTTGTCTTAGGATACAATATAAAACAGAAGTTCACAGTGCAATTATGATTTTTAGAAAGGATTATGCATTTCACTAGCCAGTCAAGTAATTTGTTTCCTTATCTTGAAATAATGCTTATATTGAGTTGTCACCCCAGAGTTCATAATTCTCAATGATAGACTCAGTAACTCAAAATGTAGCATTACTATTCATTTAAACCTCCTGTCATCCAATATAATTCTTTTTTTTTTTTTTTTTT